TGAAACTCCGACGAAACAGTTTGTCACAGCCCCTCGTTTGTTGTCCTCTTCTCCCTCTCTGCCTACGGTTTACCGGGCAGTTCTATTTGACGATATATATATATTTTAACCCATTATTTAATTCAGGAAAAATATGGTAAATTCGCGTCCGCGGCGCGGACGAGGTCGGTCGCGGACGCGGCCGTATATACGGCCACCATCCGAGCTTGACCCCGCGGACGTGTCCGCGGGTGTTTCATGGTCGTCTTCATCTACAATGACATCCTCTACTATTAATCTATCTGCAGCTAGCGATTTTTTATTTAGCAAAATTACTACGCCTGCTGAATGTGACTTGCCAGTGGCTGCCCCAAAACTTGCCTTAACCCACCTTACTTGACTTGCTATACACTGTTGGATGTTCTGATGCTCTTGTGATTCCATAATGTGAGTTTCCTGCAGGCATAAGAATTTTGGCGGTGACTCCCCAAACCAGTTTGAGTACCTCATTACATTGTGCCACTTGTCTTTATTTTCCAAAATTTGTACCATCCCATTGATGTTCCAAGACATAACCCTAAGATCTGGCTCCCTACGTTTTGAAGTATCCGTTGTCCTTCTACGCTTATACACCCCCTCTCTCAATCCCGCCTCCATGAGCTATGATGTCTTCTTTGACTCTATATAAGCATACTACTCAGGATCCTACCCAGGTCCACTCTACTGTTGTAGCCAAAATTTCAATCTTTCCATCAATGTAGTCCGGCTGCCATGCAAACACGTCACTTTTGGCCACTATAGCTGCTCCCCTTGCCACCCATTATGCCGCCTTCGAATCCCCCAGCAGTCCATACGAGATCATCTCCACTACTTGCCATGGCATCCAGATCAATCCCTCAGCCAACACTGCCTTTTCCTGCAGCTTAATCATGACTGGCCTATAGTCCATCATGTGCACTATACCCGCCGCGTCTTCCCATTCTTCCCTATCATGCTTGAGGTCCCCAATGACATGTGCCTACGAGCGCAAATCTTTTGTGATACGTTCCTTCAATATCTCAAACTCGCAATGACTGCCCTTCGCTGTAATTAGTGCCAGAGACCTTTGGATGACCACCTCCCAATCGACGTTGCCACTGTTCCATCTGTAGGGCAGAATAATTCTCTTACCTGGGTCTTGTCTTGCAGACAACTTGGCCACTGCATTGATGTCTACGTGTGGAGTGTAGGCTACTTTTTGCAAATTTATAGTGTCTTCCTCCAATTCCCTGTTCTGATTCCTGAGAACCTCGACGTGTGCTTCCAAGATCTTTGCCTGCCTCTTTTCCTCTTCCATCTGTTCGTCCACACCTAACCCCTGGGCGGAATCTGACAAAGTCCGGTCACTACTTCCCTATCGCTCCATTTCTTGTTGTTGAGCCCTGAGTTTCCATTCATATCTCTTCAGACTATGTGGCTGGTAAGATTTGGGCCAGATGAACTGCTTGGCGTACCCAACATTGTGCACCGCGATGTGATTCTTGTTCAGCCTCGCCTTCCATCCATATTGCGTAGCATAAAACTCGTTAACTTCCTGTTCGTTCTTTAGTCTCTCGCATTTGTTCGCTGTTGTTAGGCCATCCCCTGCTGCTGTGGCTGTTTCAAATTGTGCAAATGTTTATGGTGTGCCAGACGAATCTCACATTCAATGTGTCTTTCCCACTTCAGCTTGTGAACGTGTTTGATCCACTGTGCTAGTGACTCCGGTTCGTCCTCCCCTTCTTCCTCCTTCCATTCCTCTTCCCCCTTGTCATTGTCCCCATCCAAATCTGTATTTGAATCCGAGTCATGTGACATTTTTTCTGCTCCTTCATCCTCCTCCCCCCTCAAATCCTCCGCTGTGTTTTTCGTATCACCTGCAGTTGATCTGTTTTTAGAGCTGGTTCGACCTACTGAAGTCCCATGTTCTGTTCTTTGGTCCATTGAAGTTGACGCTGACGCGTCGTCTAAAGAGGCTGTAATTTTCATTTCTTCCCCTTGAGACCCTTGCTCTCCCTTGCCTTCTTCTTCCATATCTGCCTTGTGCTCC